TGTTCGACAAAGATTACTGAGGAAAAAATTCAATAAAGAATTGAAACGGTAAATTAGTACCGAAAATAAGATGTCTTTGAATGTTCAACATTTGGAAAAGCTGGAGCCAGAGCATAGAAAACACGACGCAAATGTTTCGACATCCATTCAAATGTTTGAGCAATAAAGAATCATTCTCGATTTCATTGATCAGTTTCTATGTGTGTTTTTTTCCTTCATTTAGTGGCAGCAGATGCAATCTTCAACAGATTTTATACGCTTGCAATGTGCATTTAAATGGTCATAGATCGCTTGCTTGTGATTATGAACTGAGCAACACTATTCGTGTTTATCTGTAGCAGGATCTTTTTAGACTTCATCCGGGTGTTTTTTCGACTATAGAAGTGCGTAGAAGTGAAAAGAAGTAAGTTGCTATGTTGGATTATCAATTTCTTCGGTGTAACACTGGACAATGTCTTAATTTAAAGTGATTGAGACGAAGGAGACACCAATTGATGCAATGGAATGATAGATTTCCAGCCTCGAAGAATTTGAATCAAAATTCGAGTTTTCATCTATTAAAATTCAAGTTTTTAGCCATTGAAACACTCGAAAATGGTTCAAGACTCTAACCGATTTCTTTCCAAATGAAAATATCAACCGAATATTTTACAAACTTTCAAAATCTCTTCGATGCTAACCGTTACTTTGTTGCATCTTTTTGATGTTTTTCCTCAACGGTTCCGCAAATTGCGTAATTTATTACGTACTTCGACTGTGTCCAATGTGGAAACGTGTTGGTCGCTATGAAATATTTGAGTCGGAAATGAATGGAAGAAAGTTCGTAAAACGAAGAGAAAAACTAAGTACCCAATCTTTGAATAATAAAGTTATTGACATTTTTCACCCTTGTTCATTTTATCGCTCAATTTTGTTCCCGAGTGCATAAGTGGGCCTATGTGTGTTTGTGCATGTGCGTGTGAGAGAATTTCTCAAGCTATTTTAGAGCGAGAAAAAAAGAAGAAGAAAAAAAAAACACGCATGAAACCGTCACATCGTTAACAAGTTTCTTGGAGAAAATTTTTATGAATCAATAAAATATCGTAATAATATTTTTTTTCTCTTCTCCGCTGGCATTTTTATTCGAAAAGAAATGCTATTAATAGATGATTTACATATTTTTATATTTTGCTTGTCTTCGAATCAACGCACAATGTCAATACTAAATGTGCTATATTTCATCCGATTAAACGATTTCGAATGGTCTCACGCGTTTTTGTTGATTCTAAATATGGTTTTTCGCTGTAGCAGTCTAGGCTAATAGACTTGTTGGTTGGTTGTGTGTTTCTTATTGTGTGTGCGGCGCGGCAGTGGCAAGTTTTTACTCATGCGCATGTTTACGGTTAATTAACTGAACGAATGGTTCGAGTGCTGCCAGAAATGTGCGAATGAATGAAAAATAGACGGCAGCTCTTGAAACACTTGAACACTCAATAGAACTAGCATTCGAAATGTTTCAATTTCGAGAGTGTTTTTGACAGTGGCATTCATGCTACCATCATTTCATCAAAGCGACAGCAGAAGATCGTTGCTTTTTTTCCCATTTGGAATTGCAAAGCCGGTTTCTCTTTTGTGGCTGACTCAATCGCATGTTCAACATGTTGTTTGACTGTCGTGCAAGTTCATAAAGATTCAAGTCTGTCATATATTCTAATGCTGTGTGTAACACGTATAATTAGTTTCAGTTTAGTGAGTTGTTGAACATGAGGTCAACACTTTAACAAAAGACCTTACATTTTCGCTGGAAGCAATAAAAACAACGCACATTTTTCACACAAGAAAAAACAACACCGATTCTATTTTGCAATGAGTCGAATTAAACCGGCAAAAAATATGTCAACGTTGAGTGAGAAAAATTTAAATCCAAAAAAAAAAAATAGCTGACGCCGTCGAGATAAGTATGAATAAAGATTAATCGTGGTTGACAGTTTCAACAACGGTTCTCCAGTCGTAAAAGTCGACTAATTTGCGTCAATTTGTTTATCCAAAGTGTGTCCAAAGAATTTATAAACGGCACATTTTCAAGGCGCTTTCAATTCCATCGATAATTTGGATTTCACAAGAAGCATTCAATTTCGCAAGAAGATGATCCTAGAATTAAACTGCAAAAATCAATCAAGAAACTCTCCAAGTTAATTGGAACCTACCACTTCAAAACTAATAAAATTCTAATGCGTTTTGCCAATTAAAAACAAATAAAACGCTCATTTGCATTGCAAAAATTTTGCTAACGCATTTTTGTGGAAAAATCGTTTTTTTATTTTTGCATAATCCAAATGCTTATGCTTTGGATGAATTGTGGCTGGTGACCGCAATGCAATATCCAAGCCATAAAACCAGGTGAAATTAAATTTGCAAAAGAATGTCTTAATCGCTTATTTAATTTGGATAAAAAAAAACAATGCGAACGATCGCGCCAAATTGGTTTCAAACCCAAACACCATTCCAAATCAAACGATGATGCCAATTTAGATGTGCCAACACGAGAGGTGGCAAGGTGGCTGCAAGAAAAAAACGCTTGTTCTGCGGAAAACAATGCGACCATAATAAAAAAAAAAATTAGAGAAACCATAAAATTCCAATCGATACGCGTCACAAGCCGCTAAATTATTTCAACCATGTGTGCGTAGAGATGTTTCTTCCGAGCCGAAACAGATGCAAATCAAAAGCCGCGCAAACAAAACACTAAAAATACCAACGCAGATTTTCGCTGATAATTACCATACATTTCAATTATCGAAAGCGGAAGAGAAGAAAGATGGAAGAATCAGATTCGCGATCGAATTCATCAAATAAATCAATTAACTGGATGCCAATTTCAAAGACACCACGTGCCTCGATCTATTTTTTTCTGGAAGTCTTCGATTGTTGCGAAGAGGAAGAGAGACGCTCGATCAATTTCACAAAATTTATGCTTAACGCAATGACATTTTCATCATTTTCGGCTTCGTGTGCTAATTGTTGAACGAAACAACATCGAAAATCCGATTGGCAAAAGTGCAAATGGAGATTATCAATCTTTGGTACGAATGAATGGCCGGCATCGTGGATTTTATGAAATACACTTTTTTTTCGGTCTGTGTTGTCATTCGAAGATTTTTCGATTGGTATTTCGGTAGGTTGTGTAACGTTCTCACGGTTGATCGAGTTTCTCATGTGATATTGAAGGAAAAAAAGAGAAACGAGAAAACATTTTCCATTTTTCATTGTTCGTCATTTTCTTTTCGCTTCGTTTGAGTTTCTCGCGCGCCATGCCCTTTGTTTACTGTGTTCATAAACACTCGAAATGCAACGAAAACAGTACGAGCAAATAACTGAAGCAATGTGAAATATTTCTGTGTACGAAAAATGCTCAACATCATTGAATGTGGTTGCGTATATCTGTTTCGCGTATCTTTGTCTGTCCTTTTCCCTTGGAATTTATCAAATCATGCGATTTTTTTCGTCTACAAGACAATACTAAAATGATGCTCTTGCACTTGAAAAGAAGATTTGTGTTTCTTTCGGTTGATCTAGATCACTTTGTTTTTTTTTGTTTAGAACTTTGAAATAGGTTTTTAGCTCTCAAAGAAAGACCAACAGTTTCTTTGCCGGTTTTTAACCAAACGGAAGTCTATCTCCATAATCCGAATAATGTGACCAAATCGAAGTCAAATATTGACATTTCATTCGATTTAAAATCAAATCGACTCATCAATTTATTATTCATGGGGATAAAACTGTGGATATAATTTGATTTTCAAAATTGAGGCGTTTCTTCAGGTGATTGCATGTAGTTGCAGGCATTTTCATATGTAACAAACCATCTTTCTTTCGTTCAACTACAATTAGCCAAGAGAGAGATGGAAAAAAAACCATTTAAGTCTAATTGTTAGCTCGTTGAGTTCATTCAAGCATTTAACAATTCTTCTGGTTCGAAAATCCGTCAGCAATTCCAGTTCGCTTTCTCTCTTTCTTTCTATCTTCATTGAGTGAATACAAATACACTGTTTTACTGTTTTGTGTGTGTGTGTGTGTGTGTGTGTGTGTCATGAACAAAGCAGCCGCACATTTGAATGTATTCGAATCCGGCCCTCCCAGCCAATTGAGTTGTTCGTTGTTGATTTGTATGCGGGCTCTTCATTGTTGCTGTGCGAATGTGAGTCGACAACGACAACAACGATCGATCGCTAGCAAACCAAATATGAGGAACAAGACCGATAAGCCCCTCCTCATGGCCGCCGTGTGCGGCAACTACAGAGAATCGCATCGAAAAACGATCGCACGCTATGCGCACGCACACAATCGCATCGCGTCATAGTCGAGTGAATACGTGATCGATGCGTGCGTGTGAGAGACGGAGTATTGGTAAAGGTAAAAGCAGCATGAAGACGAGTACAATCATCATCATTGCAATGATCATTGAGAACGATTCCATACAAAAATCATTCATACGAATGCAAATGCGCTTATCGTTCCATACGAACAGTTGAAGTATGATCGGCTCGAATATCGATCTATCTACCGCGAGAAACGATAAAAGAATGCTCAACCGCAATAATAATCAAATGAAATTTCTGAACGAATCAGGGGAAAAAATAGAAGATAATATTTCAACAGAGAACGCAGTGATTTCAACAGAAAGCCAAAAGCACTGATATTTGCTTGAAGGATTAACTTGATTTTGAATGGTGAATCATATTTGTACCTTGTCATGCATTCGATGCGATATAGAACTAGCATTGCTCTTCGCACCACGTCCGTAGATATATCACCACCGTTGTGTGTGCATCTCCAGTGAAACGATAGCAGCAATAGAGCCTACACGTTACCGATCTATACATCTCTCTATGCGGCGGGCACAACAGCAACCACAGACTATATATGTGAAGCGAAGAGAGACAAGCGAAAAGGAACAGAGAGAAGAAACGAAGAGAAAAAAAAACACAAACACATGCCCTCTTGTGTGTGCGTCGCCGTTGTTTCTCGTATTCGTTCGCATTGGCCATGCCATCCTAAGAGAAGAGGTGATACTGATGTGCAACACACGATGTCAGTTAAGCAATAGCTTTGAGACGAGTAACAAATAACCACTGGTGTGTATAACATTTTTTTTCTTCGTTAAACTCTGCTCATTTTTATCTACGACAACAAGAGAATCCAGTGTAAACGATATTGTTTTGAATAAAAGTAAAGTGACAAGTAAAGCGAATTTTAATTTGGTGATTTTTTTTTTTTTTTTTGTGCATGAAAAATACACATTTTCTGTTTGGTCAACGACAAGAGAGAGAAACGGTGTGTTCAAGTTATCGTTTAGATTTATATCGGTACGTGTGCATTTGGATAACCTGAATCAAGAAGATAAGACGAGAACTCATCATCGACTCTCTGATAAAATTGTATATTTAGTCGAAAAATTCGCGCATCACTCAAACACATACACAGAATCAGTGTGACTTTCTATCTTTCTCACCGTTGGATTTTCGTAATCCCAAAAAGCCCGCAAGTGGTGTGCGTGATTTTAAATATCAGTGTTTGCTCTCTGTTCAACGTTCGAAATATACACAAAACAGCAAATGCACTCAGCCCTGACTGAATACAAATCAGTCATAATGTGCGAACTATTTACGACGGTGTGTGACAATTGAGATGAATATTCGTTCGTGATCGCGAATGAGAAAACATATTGAAAATCTCTCTCTCGTTTACCGCGCTCTCGAAATACTACTATTATTTTAATAATAAACGATTTAGATATATATTATTATACAAGATCAAAGCCAATAAATAATTCAGTGTGAAAATTGCGCGACGGCCAAGCACATACACAAAAACGACATCAATGTTTCCAATGTGCGACGCGAATGTGATCACACTTGCGATATGACAATATTATCTTAATCGACACCGATCACTTTTCGAACGTATAGTGATTTTTTTTTACGCGAAGAAAAAACACAGACATTTTGTGATTAGATTTAAAGAAAGAAAAAAAAGAAAGTGAATTTCCGGGCCAATATTTGTGCAAGTTAAATAAACTGTCTTGAACTGGACGATTTGAAGAAGAAAAAATATACAAAAACAGACACAATGGATTTATCTAGTTATTTGCTGGTGATTTTAGTGGCGATTGTGTGTTCCACATGCACAGCGCTTGACAATAAACAGAAACAAGGCGGTCGCGGACGAGGCTCAATGTGGTGGTAAGTAATCCGTATCTATTTTTTTTTGCTCTCTTACAGCTTCTTCAATTAAACCGCTTTTTCTTTGTGCGTTACACAAATCAAAAAGCATTTTTTGATCCAAAAACACCAGACTCTTTGATAGTAATAATTTAATGATCACACATTTTCTTCATCATCGACTTCGCTTTTCATCTCGTTCTCTTCGGTGTTTTTTTTTAAATAAATATTGACTTTGTTCATAAACATCTCCATCTCTTTACATACGAAGCAATACGAAAATTGTGCCAAATTGCGTTAAGTGAACGAAAACATGCTCTGATTTTTCCGAAATTTACATAACAAAAAAGCACCCAAACTGAACTAAAAATGAACAGCACCCGAAAAAAGCAACTCCGTACATCAATTGGTTATTAGGAAAAATGGAGGGAAAAACAATTTATGCAGATAAAAAAGTGAACCAATTTGTAAGTGGCAACACGTCGATTGTGCCACAAGCCACGGAAAAAAATGAATAATAACTTTTCGAAAGAGAGCATAACACATGGTTTTTTTCTCTGTTCGAGAATTAAGTCGTGTTCATTTACACGATTTATATAATCTACGTATCGATGCCGCTTTTTTCGCTCTTTCTCTCTTCAAAATGGAATATTGATAAATCTGGCCATAGAACACAAAACGCACAACCGCAACAGCCATGAATTATTTACTTTAAAATGAGGAGCATTAGCATAATAAATAGAAGACGAAAATTAACATGTATTCCATCCATATCGGAGTCGGTAGCACGGCACGCAGTAGCTCAAGCGAGATAATCAAATGGGATTATGACAAGATTGATGGATTTGTTGAGTGATCTTTTTTTTCGTTCGTTGTACTTCTGCGCTTCGACAGGCAAGGTCTTGGTACACAATGAGAACGAGAATATTCAAATCGAATCATCAATTATTCGATATGAATGTTGATTGTTGAGAAAAAATGAATCAAACCTAGAAGAAAAAAAAGCTAGAAAAACAAAATTCTTGTGCACTTTTGTGAATAATTTACGATTTCCCAGTTACTCCCACCTTGACAAAGCATCCGAAGCAATAGCGTTGCGCTATTGTGCGTGGGTTAGAGAAGATTCGTAGCGATTTCATGAGCTGCAAAATTGAATTTTTCAGATCACACGTTTTCGATAAACGAAAAAAAAAAGAAATATCAACCTCAACAATTGTAGCAGTAACTACAAACGACATACAGCAGTTGAAGTGGCAGCAGCGACGGCGTCGACGTTTGTGTCGCGTAGGTTGACAAAAACGATTCATTTGATTAATACAGAGACATTTAGCATAATCTGTCATACCAGCCAACAAATTAATTACGCGGTAATCGGATTTTCTAGCGAAAATTATTCAATTATGACGGCGGCACATGCTGCGTTTTTCCCTACGCGAAGTCACTATTTCATTCGATTTCAACGAGATTTACATCGACAACAAAAAACAAACAAACAAACACACAAACACTTAATTCACAGTGCACGTAGACAAATTGGCTAGTTGAGCGTTTTTCGGTTTGCCAATTGACTGGCTGGCTGCCTGGCTGGTTGGCTTTTGTTTTTTTCTTCTGTCTTTCCACTTAGTTTTTTGCCCATAATCGATTTGATTTAGGTACCGTACATGGTTTCATGTTAATTACTTTACGACTTTGATCAACGTGCACACGATTACATTACGGTGATAGAGACAGAGAAATTCAACGGAATCCAAGAGTCGCTTGCACTTCATGCCAATGTGATTGGCTTGCCTCCATTTTTTTTCTCTTCTCTTCTGCTTGGTTATTCAGTTGCCAATTGATATGAAATTATGAATATGATCATAATCAAATCGATAATAAAACCAAATTGACTTAATTGCTCAATTTACCGCTCGAGATCGAAATACATGCAGTCGATCAACTGCAGCTGTATGCCGTGTGTGGTGTGTGTTTCGTGCAATTTCTCCCGTTTCAAAGACAATTATTTTAATTATGTGAAACATTAACGGACTGTTAATCAGTTTTTAATCATATCGTTGTGAAAAAAAAACAACAAACACAAATCGATCTAATGTGTAAACACTTGCATTTTTGTATCCGACGGGGGATAAATGCGTTTTCAGAATGGAAATAGGAGAACCAGCAGCAGCAGCAGCGACTGATGATTGAAATGCAATTATGCACTCATGAAAATCAATTGAAACACTTGTACCATGATATGTCGAAAAACAAACGAATTCAATTCCAAATACTTGTTTCAACCAAACTCAATTTGGTGCATAACTTGTTTGATCTTTAAACAAGTCCCTCTCACACACACACAAACTGATCTCCACTTCCGACTCAAATTTCTGACAGTTAATAAACTTTCTCATTTTACAGCCGCATGCATTTTCGCGCCCATCGTAACATTTGATTACATTGAAAAGCATCAACATGTCATAAAACTTGAAAATTATTATCAATTTGCCTTGAATTCCATCAAATTTACACTTTGGGCCGATCAAGCGTCAAACACAGAAATTCTCTTTAACGAAGGAAAAAAAATCGTTTTTAAATATTTAAATGTCTTCACTTGAAAAATCAAAACTGTTAAAAACGAAAGACGAAACGGTTTAGCGCCAATAACAACATCTTCATATTTTTTTTCACATATATAATACACCCATGTGCCCGGCTCCAGGCTCTTGCTCTCTAACATCTAAATAAAGTGCCCGAATTGGAACCACTTTTCTACACATCATATCAATATCCGAGTCAATTAAAATTCAATCGATTTTGGGTTTCGTTTTCTCGAAACAGATGTATCGGTTGGTGTGTGCCGTCGTCGTCGTCGTCGTCGCCGCCGTCGCTTGGTGTGTACTACGCACATGTCTAATATCAGCGCCATGGCACTTAAATTCTTTAAAATATGCCATACAGCGAGTAGGAGAGATGTCGGCGGGCTAAATGACACATTTACATGTGCTGTGCACCATTCACACACACACACACAGTGACGAGTGCCGGAGAAGAGTAAGAGAGTCTGGTGAGAAAAAAGAAAGCAAATACGGAAAAAGTAGTAATTGAACACAAGAGCGGAGAAGAAGAAAAGTAACATGCAACACATGCATGTCAACAATGCTCAAAAAGTGAGCCACAAAACAAGGAAACAGAATATATGTATCAATACTCTCTTTTTCTCGGTGCACTCGGTGTAAACATACCGATGAGAAAATAACAAAACCAGACGAAATGTTCAACCGTATGTAAATTGAATTACACACTAAAAACAGATAGGAAAAAAACAAACAAACAAACAAACGAGAGAAAAAAAACGGAATTCGGGATTGAATCGATGAAATGATGAGATGCATTCACATAGCGCCACAAGTCTCGCTTACTTCTTCTCATTACATAATTCCCACACACGCATCCAAATACTCTGTGTGCCTCTCGCGATTACGTCTAATTCGATGATAGGCCTTTTAAGAAAGTTAAATAGCGAACGAAACATTTCTTCTTTGTTATCTTATAGAAAATGTTTGCTCCGAACTCTTTCGCCTGCGCTTTATAGGCCGATTTTCTAATTGCTAATTGATAAAAATCACCATTTAATTGAAAATGAAACACAGAAAATCCATTTGGGCTGCGAATGCAACACAAAAGAAACGCCACACACACACACTAGTCGCGGCTGCTGCTGCTACATTAGACAATGCACACACCGAAAAGATGTAAAAAGCCAGGAAGAAAACGAATGGACGAACGAAAGAATCAATTTAATTAACCAATTATTGTATTTCAATAGAGTGATGGTGAGCGCGCGCACGCTTTCGAGTACGGCGCTCACATTTTATATATGTTCTGTCTAATTCGATCAACGCGGATCATTAATTTCCGAACTAAATCTGCAGCTCTTTCTCTCTCTCACCCATAAACAACGATTGGAAAGCAAACATAATATTGATATCCTCTATAAGGTGATCTCTCCTCGTTTGACCAAACAATTCCATTCAATTTTCTCTCCGTATCTATTCTCTCTATTTATTTCGTCTGTGTATGCACCACTCCTTCCATCTCCCGCACTCACTTAGTGACAATAGAGTGAAATTGGTTGAAGTCGGAACATTTATTACACATGCTCTACACTGCATATCTCCTTTATGGCTCGGCCATACAAAAGGAAGAATGCTTTTCATTCATTCCATCAGAGATTGGTCATTTCGATAAGACCACAAAGTGACTTTGATGAATTATGACTCTGGATATTTGACAATTTTCTCTCTATTCGATATCTCTCTGATGTCGTTCAGTCGAGAAAAAAAAATAAAAGAAAAACATCCTTCTCCGGTGTTGTAAACTAATCAATTCATATGGCTGTGTTTTTTCCATGCATTTATTTCATTCAAATGGTCCTTAGACATGTTCTTTGATGAATGAATTAAGTGTCGTGCACTGACAATGATACAATCCGTTCAATGGGCTGGCATTCATTCATGTGTCGTGGCAAAACTTCTGTCTGTCACACTTTTGTGCACTCAAACAGTTTTGGCCAGTCAATTTGTCATCGAGAATGAGAAGGAGACACAGAAAGAGTGTCTGAGAGAGAAAGAGGCAGAAAATTGCATTCACAAAGTAGCCAACCTTTTGTCATGTTTTGATAATCGAACATTTTGTCGGTTTTACAATATTTTTCAAATTCAATATTTTTACACTTATCTAATGGAAAAAATCGCAAATCCAGTGAAAAAGAGGCAATCTGAAGAAAAAGAAAGAAATCCTGAGAAAACCAAACGGAATTATTGAGTTTAAAAGGCATTAAAACTCACTCGTCGAAAGTGCAAATTTATAGTTAACGTCAATGACTATTACCATGCACATAATTCTCCAGGGTGCGCACAGCGCACACACACACCTAAGCTATTTGTATCTAAAGAAGTTTTCGTCGATAAATTGTGCTTTATTTATATCCATTCCCAATGCAAGTGAATGAGCAAAAGCGAAAAATGTGGAGTTTGTTT